GAGGACGTCAGTCTGGCCCGCCATGGTGGCTGTCCCTGTGATCCTGCACTTTCTGGGCCAGGAGGCGGTTCTTGCGGAGCCACTGCTGGGCGCTGATGGCCTGCAGGTACTACTTCAGCTCAGCCTGCAGGCTCCGCTTGGTGCGCTCACAGCTGTCACCACCGCCATGTGGGGAGTACAGGCCGCCCTCTGCCAGCCTGCCTCCCCTGTTCAGAGGCTCTCTGCGCTGCTCACCTGCCCAGAGTGACTGGGGCTGGGTGGAAGCTAGGCATCCTGCCCTGCCCAACCCCGGCCGATCCGCCCCTGTGTGAGCTGCCACCCGGCCGGGAAGGGTCACAGATCCGGGTCCCGGGACCGCGCACAGCCTCAAGCACTGCCCCCCGCCCAGCAGGGTCACAGATCCGGGTCCCGGGAGAGCCTCAAGCACTGCCCCCTGCCCGGCAGGGTCACAGATCCAGGTCCCGGACCGCGGATAGCCTTGCCTGCTGCCTCCCCGCCGTCAGTATGCAAATTAGCCACCATCTTGTTGCTTCATGGTGGGGGTCCCCAATGGGGTGCCTGGCCAGCCTGGATGAGGGGCACAGGGCTGTTTTCAGGCTGGTGGGTGACTGAAGCTCCCAACCTCTCCTTTTTTTCTTTTCTTTCTTTTTTTTAATTCTGGGATTTATTTACCTTCTATGGCTGTCACTGGAGCTGAGAGCCGGCTTTAGCTCTGAGGCTCGGCTCCAGCTCTGAAACCTCGGCTGCTGAAAGCAGCGATCTGGGTTTGTTTGGGTTCTATAATTGTAATGCTGTTGCGATCCTGCTGGCTGAAGCCGGGCTGGCTGAAAGCAGGTTTCTGGAGCCTGTTTAGCTTCTATATTTGCAACATAGTTGCTTAGAGTGCAAGCTCAGAGGCCAGCAGCGGCAGGCAGGGAACCTTGGCTTCCTCCATCACTGGAGCAAGCAAGCCTCCTGTTCGCTTCAGCTGCCTGGCTGCCGGCTGCCATCTTGGTTGGCAGTTAATTTGCATATTGCCCTGATTAGCCAATGGGAAGTGTGTTGGAGGTACGGTTAATTACAATGTTTGTCTATTATTAGATAGGATATCAGAGTTGAAGGGAGAGGGAGAGATAGAAACATCAATGAGAAAGAATCATGAATTCGCTGCCTCCCACAGGCCACCGCTGGGGATGGAGCCCACAACCTGGCATCAGCACTGGCTGGGCAGGCCCTGTCTGTTTTGAGGGCTTTAAGTGGTGCCCACTCAAGCCGCTGAGCTAAGCAAGTGACTCTCTGTCATCAGTCAGCAGGTCACTGTATTGGC